GGTTTTCTTATAAGGGCGTGTATCTGTAGCAATAAAATTAAAGAAGTTTCGAAACGATAGTGAAAATTTATAAATTCAAGCAACTAAAAATAATGTTTAAATTGAATATTAAAAAAAAAAAAACAAAAAGGATTAAATTTAAGAACTGGTAGAAATATTTTTTATTGAAATAATTTTTAATATTCATTTTGTGATTTCCAATAGTAGGGCAATTAAATATAGAAAACGAATAAAATTTCTAACTTTTAAAACTAAAAAAATTTTAGTTTTAAGCCATTAATTTTTGATTGTAGGTGTTAAAAAACAGGAATTCAGAAAATTTCGTACATTTTAAATTCTTTAATATAAAATAAATTTTTATTGATGACTTATTATTTTAATGTTCAGAAAATTCTGAAGTAACTCATGTGCCTAACTCACATGTGCTCAGATACCTGTCAATTTTGATTTCCAATTTTCATTAATTAAATTTTACGTTCAATTTGTTTTTCTAATTTTTTTTTTCATTCAATTTATTAAAAAATTTTGCTTACTGTACCAAGAATGTACCAAGTAATTTTCCAAGGTGTGCCAAATAAATTTTTTTTTTTTTTTTTCAGAAATATTTCATGAAATTCTTGCAATTCTCATTGGAAAGTTAAATATATTTTGTATAACTTAGGCATATTGTAATATAAATGATCAGTTTCATATATAAGAATTAATTATAGCAGGTTAGGTACTTTTCATAATTGTCAACGATTTTTTAACAATATAAAATATTTTGACATCTTGCAGTATCAAAAAAAAAAAATTGCATTAATTTTTGCAAATATTTGCGTTAGCAACAGATTATTAAATTATGATTGATGCGTCAAAATGATTATGAAAAGTTATGATTTTTGACAATCGTAAAATTGATTGCCGTACTTATCTACCATCGTATCGTATCTTACTAATAAATTCAATTCAATGTCGCGATATATGAAAATTTTCTACTAAAACCAAATAATCAGAATTTTATAAATTAGACAATTTACTTAAATTATGTATGTATTTTGGAACGAGATTTGAAAAGAATATGAAGATATTTTTAAAAAAAAAATTAATTTATTTTTATATTTAAAAATATTTTTCTATACTATAAGAAATCTGAAATATATAGAAAATTTTCTTAAATACTTTCCTAATTCTTAAGATTCTATTAAATAAATTTATTTTTCAATTAAATATTTTTATTAAATAGAAAACTTCTATGATTATAAAAAACTCCTTTTCCTTGTACGTATATTAAAAATAAATTATAATATTATATATATGTATATGGAAAATTTCGCTTTTTCAATAATAATATTTAAAATTTTCTTCTTCATAATTTTTAACATTGAAAATTTAATTAACAGCGCCCTCTTTGATCACATCATAATTTACTCATTAAATAATTTGTAAGAAAAATTATAATGTTCCTTTTCTACTTTCAACCTTGTATATATTATACAGTTAAAAGAAAAAAACAAAGAGAAAAACACTGAACTTTAAAAGGAAAAATAATAATTAATAGCTTCAAGTTCCGACATCAATCACAAGAGCAAAAAAAAAAAAAAAACCAAGAGAAAATGAAAACAAACAAACAAATATCTTAAATATGTTACAAATAAGAGTTTATTTTCATATCTTAAAATCATCTGTCAAAAAATTCTCATTTAATAATTATTTTTACTCTTTACACGCAGCAGGAGAACTTAAAAAAATATTAAATACTTTATTAAAACGGATACCTTATAGTAAAGCACCTTATACCAATATTATTTTTCTCTCTATTTTATTATTATTGTTGTTATTATTATTATGTCTCTTTTTATCAGTAAAACATCATTTGCAGTTTAAAACTCATTTTCTTCTCTTTCTCTCTTGTTTCTTTATTATTTTTTTTTAAATAATAATAATTAAGAGAAGTGTAAAAAATAAAAAGGATGATTTCTTTTTTAAAATTAATATTCATACACTCATATATATATATATATATATATATATATATATACATCAATTATACATATAAAATCTTACTTCCTTTTCTAACTTATTTTAAAAAAAATTTATTTAATCATTTTTAATTATATTAATATTTTTCTTACTATATACATACTACATAATTATAGTATATTCTTCCTCTCACTCCAACTCTGTTATTTCCAACATTCTCTTTTATATGTATATATATATTTTCAAGTACCATTTTAATTTATTTTAAAATGTCATCATTACCTAATTAGAAAAGTTTAATCTCTTTATAATTACAACGTCAATCAACCAACAAGACAACTCGATTTAAGATGTAGAAAAGCAAAAAAAAAGGAAGAAATAAATTAAGAAATAAAATATAAAAAAGAGAACATACGAGTATTACGTAAAAAAGAAGAAAATTAATAGAGAGACGAAGAACGAATAAGCAAGAGGAAAGAGAAAAGACAACTTATTTAATATTATTATTATAAGTTTTCCCTCTCTCGCTCTCTATTTTTTCAATTTTTATATTTTATTTCTTTTTTATATTTTAAAAGTTTTCCTTTTAATTTTCATGTTCCTATCCTCCAAAAAAAACAAAAAAGAAAGAGGAAAATTTCTAAAAATTTTTCTTAAAATTTATTTTTAAGTTTTTAATTTTAGGTAAGAAATTTTTCATGGTTTTCGCTTTTCGCTTTTTAATATAGAAAAAAATAAAAGAAATATTTGCGTTTTTTTTTGTATCAGGAATAGAAGAATTGCTGGTGTGCGTATAAATGTATATATAAATTTGGGAATGGTTTTATATTAAATTTATGCAAAAATATATATGTATATATATAATCAGGGTATAGAATTGGAAGAATTCGATTTGGGTATAGCATAACCATTTGGTTAGCAATTAAATTTTCCATTTTCATTACAAGAAATAACAATAAAAATTACGATTAAAGAGTAACAATAAAAAAAAACAAAAAGTGTATAATATTATTTTTATATATTTTGTTAAGGTCATAGGAAGGATAAAATAAAAGAAAATGGCATTATAAAAATATTAAAATATTTATAATATACTTAAAGTGGTGAGGGTACTTTATTAGAAGATTACCCTAATTATTTGTTAAAGAATGCGAATAATACTCTTAATAAGCAAATGACAAACAAATACAATAAAATTTCTATTAAATCGAATAAGTAACACTGATCTTATTAGTTAGGAACACACAAGGGTCGATTACGGGTCAATTAATAATATTTGAATAGAGCAAGTGCCTGAGAAAATTAAAACAAAATTTACCACTTGAAAGTTTGGAACTCATACATTCAAATAATATTTTTTATGTATTAAAAAAGTGATCAATGTTAAACAGATATAAACTGTCAAAGGCCTCTTACTGTATTTGATATACACAAAAATTATTAGGCTTTTAATTTTAATAACAAATTTTTTGTATCAAAAATTCAAAACATTCTATAGGCAGATCCGGTTCTGACTTGTTTGGCACCGTACTCAGTTTTTTAAAAGAGCACTCTTCGCTTACGAAACAGTTAACAATATGCAATAAACATTGCAATTGCGAATAATAAATAACTTTTTTTGTAATTTTATCTGAATACAAGATTAGTCATAGAATTAAAGCACCTTATTTTGCATTGTTATCAAGTTATTTTCGCTGTAAATAGAAAGAATAGTTTTTTTTTGGAAATCCAGTACTGGAAAATATAGAAAAAAATTCACTTTTTTTGAAATTTAGTTTTATCTTTAAGTTTCCTATGGTGGCCTTTTTTCCGGCGCTCATTGTAAATGTTCACTTTACATATGAATGGTAGATCTGGCACTGTTTATAAGTATAGAGTAAATTGAATGTTTTATAATAATAGCAAATTTATTAATAATTGCCATCCTTTCACTTTTTGTCGATTAATATTTTCAAATATATTAAGGATTTCTGTATATATGTATATATTTAGTCCTAATAAATCATTAATTATACCCGTACGAACGTATGTTCGAAGGGTATACTAAATTTGCCTTACCGTTTGTAACGCTAAGAAATAACGGTGTTACATATAGACTCAAGTGTATGTTTTTGATCAGCGTCAAATTCTGAGTTGATTTAGCTTTGTCTGTCCGTCCGTCCGTCCGTCCGTCCGTCCGTCCTTCCGTCCGTCCGAACGATAACTCAAAAACTAATTGAGCTAAGTTCACCAAATTTTCACAAATGATATATTGTAGTAAGTGCCAGAACCCTATTTAAATTGGACATGCTCGGGGTACCGGTTCGGGTAACTGCCATACAACTTCAAAATTTATTGGGCTATATCTCAGAAACTATAAAAGTTATGGTATTGAAATTTCACATAAACGAATATATTAGTAGGGCCAATATGCCACATAAAAGTCGTTGAAATTACTTGGCTCCTTCTGGTACCTGCCATACAACTTCAAAAATTATTTGGCTATATTTCAGAAACTATTAAAGCTATGGTATTGAAATTTCACACAAACGAATATATTAGTAGGGCCAATGTGTCACATAAAAGTCGTTGAAATTACTTGGCTCCTTCTGGTACCTGCCATACAACTTCAAAATTTATTTGGCTATATCTCAGAAACTATAAAAGCTGTGATATTGAGATTTCACACAAGTGAATATATTAGTAGGGTCGATGTTCTGGTAGCTGCCATACAACATCAATAGTAGTTTGGCACAACCAGTATTTTGAATAACACATAGTACTGAAATTTTGCATAAATTAATATGTTAATACGGCAACTTAAAGACATAGTCTGTCCCATAGTTAGTTATGGCACATTAGTTATTCGCACATAGGATAACAAATTCGTACGGGTATCACAGAGTTGACAAGGTCAACTCTATTTTTTTTCTCGTTGTATTTTATTCATTAATAAAAATAATTTACTGCCAAAAAGTTTATAAATTATTTTTAATTACTTATTATTTTTTTATCATTCTAATGTCATAATTATTAAATTAATAATTTTTTTGACTTACCATCTATAAGACTATATCTTGGATTTGACATATCAACTTTTGTTTGATTTTTAATCCAATAAATTGTTGGTGGTGGATTACCATCTGCTTTACATTGCATCACAGCCGTATGTCCAACTTCAATAACTCTTGTATTTGGTGTTGTTGTTATTTCTGGGAAACCAGGTGGTGTATTATTACCTATTAGAAGAGTAAATAAAATAGAAATTAGTTTTTTTTTAATTTTCAAATAGAAATTTATTTGAAATTATTAAAATTTAATTAAAATTAATAATTAAAATTGTGAATTGAAAATTGAGTAATATTTATAATAAAATGTGTTCATTTAGAGTAGAATTTATATTATATCCAAACAAGTCGTGTTATCAAACGTTTATTGCCGTCAAACAATTTCCTTTGCAACAGCATTGCCAGTATGAGAATTTTTATATTAATAACATTTATTGAATTTAAAATGCTCGTTACTCTAATTATTTTTAATTACTCTAAGAAATTGAGTTTAAACCAATTTTCTTAGCTTTGTTTTTTAAAATAAATCACAATATTATGTAGATATTTAAAAATAAATTAAAAATTTTAGATAAATAATTTTATTATTTTTGAAATAATTCATTTATGGCAGAGTTTCCCAAACATTTTACCCTCGTAGACCTCTCGTAGTCGTATTTTTTCAATTTTTGATAATTCTCCCCTGCTACTTTCTTACATAGACTTAAATTTCTAACAGGAGTAAAGTACTCTTATAATGTGAGAAATTTAAAAAAAAGAAAACAAAAAATTTTCAAGCGTGCACACACACAGTTGAAGTGGGAGTTTGAATGAGAGAAGAAACCACTATTTTTTTCCATTTGATTTGAATTTTTCGTCAAAAATTGTTCCCATTTTATTTGAATTTTTGGTTTACATATAAAATAGCATATTGTCTTTCTAAAAGGGAATTAAATTCAAGTCAACTCCCCTCCCTCCCCCCCATTTTCATTTCGTAGACTCGCATTTTCATTTGATAGAGTCTCATTTTTTCTGTGCACCATCGTAGACCCTAGCAGGTCTTCATGGATTACAGAGGAGTCTATAAAGACCACTTTGGGTATCACCGATCTATGGGAACTGAGATCAACTCAACAGAAATTACATAATAATTTTAAAGATGCAAATATAGACTCGGATAAGAATTAAATTCCATGAGATCAAAATTTATAAAATAATTCATTATAATGACAATGTAAATATATATATGTACATAAATATAGTATACAGCGACACCTGCTGTGTTTTAGAAATAAAAAATATTTTTATATTTTAAAACTCACATATCATTTTTTTTTTTAAATGACGTCCATTTTGAGGTTTTTTTGTTGTTGTAAGTAATAAAAGTTATAAAACAAAAAAGTGATGGGCTTGTAAAAATATTTTATTTGTCTAGATTCTTAATTTTGTTCCAGTTTTCTTTTATTATTTCTGTTTTTTTTTTGGGGTAACGACTTATGAAAAGTTTAATATTTTATTATTATTTTTCGTTTGTTATAAAATCTAAAAAAGAGCTGCAATATATTGGGTTTTAAGATATTTTTTTTTTCAAGGATAATTTTAATACAAAATTTTTTTATTTATTCCTTAAATTTATTATAAAAAAAATAAATAAATAAATAATATTTTAATATTTTTTGTTTTAACTCCAACCAGACCTACATATTGTTTTGTAAATGCTCCATATATTGAAAGAATCCTTCTAAATATTATAAAGACTTAAAAAATAAAATATAACAATAAAAAAATATTTTATGATAGCAGGATTTTAAGGCATTTCATTTTGGTTTTTATTTTGACTGCAGTACTCGTATTTTTAAAGAAATGAAAGATTATTGAGGTGAAAACGTATAAAAAAAAATTTTTGTTTTTCATTGCCCACCTTCTTATAGTGTACATTCATTTTAATTTTTCGAATGTGTGTATATGTAAGTATTTTTAATCTTTTACAATATAAACGTGTGGACAGGAAGGATTTTATTCTTAAGTTGTTGTTGTTTTTTTAGGAATTTTATTTTTAAGATTATTTTTTGTTTTTGATTAAAACTTTAACATTAAGTATTAAATATTTTAAAGAGGCACGTATATAATATAATAATAATATTAATGCAGGTCATGTGAATATCACAAAAAAAAAATATTTTAAAGCTAATTTATTTGTAGCGAATAAAATGAATAAAATGAGTAAATGAGCGAAATGATTTCGGGTACAACATGGTTTTATAATTCAAAAATTTATTGAAATCTTGATTTTAATTTAATTGTGGAAGTTTATTGAAGTTAACAATATTATGTATTTGAATTTCGGTTTGAATTTTTTACAAGGATAAAATAATAATATTGATAGAGCTTTATTTTTTATCAATTACTTTTATAATTTTGTCAATCCAAAAAAAATCTGATGATGTCAGCAAATAACCGACCACAAGGTGCGTGTAATCGAATTTAGAAGAAATGTTGCACAATGTTTATAAAAATGTCTTTTAAACACTTTTTTTTAAATTTTAAGGACACTAGCAAGCTTTTAATTAACATACCTAGAAAAATGTGAATTTGGCTTTAAGTACAGCTTCACTTTGTGCTATTCAAATTCCCTGTAAAATTTTTCAGTTACTTCCGGTAGCAAAACAAAACTCAAATATTATATTTCAAGAAATTTCGTTAATTTTTTGTTATTATGTTAAATTCTGTTATTTGCTAATAGATATGGTGTAAAATGTAAAATCGGTCCGTAGTAAGTGTTCAGTTTCAGAGACCAGATATTCTCAAAAAAGTTTATAAGTTCACTATTTTTACATCGTGAAGAGTTGAGTAAGAAATTTCAAAGAAATTGCAGGATTATGCTAACTGATGTTTTCTTTTAAAAGTTATATGGTTTCTTGTATACTGCCAAGCGAAACTTATATATGAAATTTCAGGTTAATTGGTTTTGTATAGATATTATAGTATAATAAAGATACAGTTCTCGAGACCTGACACATCCCAAAAGTTGTTCAAACCGTACAGAAAAGTTGATCAAACCGTTAAGCCAAACTTGCAAGGAATAGACTGTCAGACAGATGATTATTTCTTTAAAAATAGTTTATTTACGCTTTCTTAGAATGGAGGAATGCATTTTCGTCGAAACCTCCATGTGAGAAATTTGATGTTGTCAAATAACCTCCGTTATAGTATGCAATGCGGTCGGTAAAAATTATATTTATTGAAGAAAAATTTAGAATTTATATATGGCTGATTTCGAATATCAAATTTTTAATTAAAATTGTAATTTATGATTTGATTGGAGTTTAATTATTGTCCTCATCTGCCAAATGCTATTTACAGATCTTGCAATTAAACCAAAAAAATTTCACTAAATAATTTTCACTCCTTTGAAAAACATACAGTAAATCACAGCATATAATTAATTTAAATTTTGCTTCTCATTAAATTGTATAACAATAATATTATTAATAGAAATAATTTAAAATTCTAAATATTATTTAAATTGAATAGCTTGTATAGATCAATTATTAATTAATAATTTTAAATAACTACCTACACTTTATACTAGATTAATATAAATTAATGATTTCTTAAATATATCAATTAAAATATAATGCAATATTTGAATTTGTATGTCTAAAATTAATTATATACAGTGAAATATTCCTTCCTTCCGGTAGTCTTTAACCATAATTATTATTATGATAATTAAATTATGTTTTTTTTCTTGTTATGCAAATAAAATTTTGTTATATAATTTTAATCGATATTAAAATTTATTAATTAATATTTTTGAATTCTAATTTAAATTCAATTACGAACAAATCATTTATAAATATTTTTATTAAAATTTATGCAATTATATTATAATAATGCTCTACTATATACTTAATATATGGGGCCGTAATGCAATAATTTTCATTAATTTGCTTACTATTGTTATTATTAGGCTATACAAAATATAAAAGAAAATTATAAATTAATTGAAACCTCATTGTATACACATTGTATTGTATGGAAGCAATAATGTGATGGAAGCAATAATGTGACGAATTATAAGTATATAATTATAAATAAGAATAATAAGAGTTGATTTTGATTATGAAAAAAAAAACTGAAGAAACTTGTGTGCAAAACCGTTTAAGTCAAAATAAGCGTATTTCGAATAAAAGGGTGTTTTGAAATTTAGATTATAATTTAAATAAATTTCAAGACTCTTATATTTGTAGTTAGAAATTTTTGATATGAGATATATAGATGAAAGGATGCTAAACTAAATTCTGAAGAATTTTACTGAGTTGCAATTTTTCACGATTTTCTTAAATAATATCTTAGGTGTGACATTCAAAATATTAATCATATTTTTTAAAAATAGTCTCACTTTCTAACACTTTTCATTTTAACTCGCTTTTAAAGTTACAAAATTTTGATTCTTACGTATAATTTTTGTTGTATTAAAGAAGAACGGTTAGGATCTCCTTTTACTGAATTCAATTGTGGTGCTCAGCCCGTTAGTGGCCTATCCAACATTTTTTCAAAAATGAGTTATAATGTTCAATAGAGCTTTAATGACCTAAAAAATTGTTCTATATTTTCAAAGTACTTAGTTTATACCTTTTTCCACACTATTTTGACATAAGTTCTTTTTTGCCTTTTAAACATTTTCTTAAAAGTTAAATATTTAAATATTTCAAGGGCAAGTTAACCGAAATGTCATTTCAAATGGCAAGTAGGTTTCTAATGTACTGAGCAACTCAGTTGTTTTCTCGAAAAATTTAGCATTATGTTAAAAGTACAAAAATTAACTAATTTGAATTCTCTCTCTTCACTAATTTTCATCTCAAAACCATTTTTATAAAAATTATTGTTAAGTTTAGTTTCGAAATTTGCTAAATTAAGTGATAAGTATGATACCCAAAAATTTATTCTAACCCCAAGAATTATATTTAGAAATCGGTATTATATATTCCGTCAAATTCGAGTGAATAAATTGAAGCAAATTTTCCTAATAATTTTTTGTTTTTGCTTTATTTATTAAAAGAAGGAACTAAATAGTTTTGAAGAAACTCCATGCATATCCAACCACAATGAATTCATACATTAAATTCGTCACAATGCATACATTAGTAAAAGTAGGCGTAGTTGAAAGTTCAAATATAATC